GGATGGCTTATTATCATTAGATGAACAATATTAAAAAGGAAAAATAGATTTGAGTTATATAGGCTAAGATCTTGAAATTCACAAAATGAATGGTCTAGATTCGTTTAGGAGGGGACTCATTTGACCATATCTAGGCTTCAAATTGTTAACTTTTTTTTGGGGGGATTGATTATTGAGATGAAGAGAGTGTGTGCGCAAAATTTGAGGTCATACAAATACCACAAACATGGTTTTCTAGAAGTGTTGTTGCATTATACTATGATACAACGGTTGCATTGGATCATTGCTCATATATATATATATATATATATATATATGAAAAAAGTTTATATACGGATGCAATCTTATAATGTAGAACTACGGATGCACCTCAAAAATCCATCAGAAAAGGTAGCTTTAATGTAGAAAAACCCTTTGATTGATCATCTTGACATCGATATGTATGACCATGAAAAATAAAAAGATTTTAAGTCTAAAAATAGTGCATTTTACAACATATTATCTGCACTGTCCATTTTCAAGATTTTCATATGTTTATAGATCTACTTGATTTTAACCATTTTTGAAATTTAAAATTTTATAATTAGATATAAAAATAGATTTTGAGATAATCCTAAGAACATTTTACATCAAAATTATATACCATGATAAAATTTGAAGGTGCACCTTACCTCTACAGCTACGGATGCATCCGTATGCCAATTGCACCCTATATATATATATATATATATAGGAAAAGAATACAATGAGACTATTTACCTTTAGTACAAGGTGGTCACAATTAATCCTGACCATTGGATGTGAAATTGGGTGGCAACATTTATTCTATTGACCAAGCTCAAAGTTCAAAATAAATTTTCTCGAACTTTGTGACACACCCAAGCTATATATATTGAGAATAGTTAACTTTATGCTTATATACTTGCCAACTTCCAAATTTATCAACAAACAAATATTGTATCTGAAAAACAATAGTAAAACAATGAATAGTCAATATTAAGACCCTCTGCTTGTACATACATGTTTGACTTCTCAAACAGAAGCCTAAAGGAGTCCATGATGAGTTATTTTCACCTACTTCATTTTCAAAATACAATCCAAAATGAAGAGAGCACAATAAACCTAAAATCAGAACGATATTTACGCTAATCATTCCATTTTGCAGTAAAAGCTAAAACAGAGTGCTCCAAAAAAGTAGAACATGACCCAATTCATCGAAAACAAAAGAACAAAGAACCCCAAGCAACAATTACCTGAATCACAAACTTCTCTTTTTGAAAGTAAGCATGTTAATCATAAACTAAAAACACCACATACAAACAGAAGGGGGAAAAAAATTAGCAAGGAATCCATTCTTAACAAGGACAGCAACAAAAAAGGAGTTCCAAATGAGAACCCTATCAAACAGTGACAAATCCTCAACTGCTATCTCAATAGAAGCAGCAATGCAAACAAGAGTCGCAAATCAGAACCCTCTAAAACAGTGACAAATCCCCAACTGCTATCTCAATAGAAGTAGGAATGCAAACAAACAGAGCCATTAACCAGAATATAAACCACCACTAATTCCTAAAAATCCTAGACCGCTCAATCATGCAAAATCCCCAGGGGAAAAGTCCAATTTTTCAACATGCCAAAGAAAAACTCCCGAAAAACCCTTGATGACTTAATTCAAATGAGAAAAAAAAACACTACCTCTTGATCCAATAACCCAACCCCAAAAACCCAAAATGTTGATCGAACCAAGGTAACAAACATTAAACCCCAATCAATCAAAAATCTAAAACCAAAACACAGAGAAAAAAACTTACTAAAAAAAATTAGAGAAAAAATGAACCAGGAAACAAATGAATTAAGCGAGAAGAAACATGCGTACCATAAAATGGCCGAGATTCACAATGGTCCAGGCCATTCCAGGAGAGCATCCAAACACTGATAACACAACGAGCCATGAAAAGAAAATGATCAAAATATAGGTGGTCCAAACGCCAGGATACATGAACCATTCTGTGTTCTTATTGAGATCAGGAGGAGGAACAGTTTGTACATAAAGGTTCCCCATGCCTTTTGAGAACCTCAACAAATCCACCATTAAAGCTATAAGCTTTGATCTCTTCGTTTGCTACGGAAAAGAGATTCTTTTTTGTTGCAGAGCTCGGCGACAATACCGGAAAACAAGAGAAAAAAAGGAGATTAGAGAAGCACCAGATCATTCCTACACGTGTGGTATATATATATATATATATAGAAGACTTTTTTGGTTGTAATTTGGGATCTAGTTACACGTGTTAACAGCCTAATTGTTTTTCATGGATTTATGGGTTAAACATTTATGCACCCGCGGGAGCATATACTCCCTGTGGCTAGACCCTGTTACATGTATTTCTAAGACCCCAGGTTTCTTCCTCCATGACCTCCTCCACCGGAGCCTACTCGAGAAATGAAAAAGAATTGAAATAAATTTAAAGTAAAAGTATAATATAGAGTAATGATATATTTTTTCACATCCATGTGAGTAAGGTTTCAAAAGATCATTATTAAATTTTGACATAAATCGTTAGAAAACTTGTTATTATTGATAACTTTTTTAGAGATCCATATCAAAATTTAATGGTGATCATTTGAAGTTTTACCCACATAAATAAAACAGGGTCTCATAGTTTCATTATTTATAAAAATAAATATTAAAAAATAAGTTATATGTTTGGAAGTACTTGGACTTCACCATGGAAATATTAAATGACCCCTCTTTGAATCCCATGATATTATTATTTAAGCATATTTACATTGTGCTTGATTTTTTGGAAATCATTAAAGGGCGTGGTTTTATGAGGTATCAACTTAAAATAATCAAAGTAAGATACATCTCCAAATTTTATAAATAAATGTAGTTTCTTTATTGAATATCATTCTTATGACTTGAAAATCCATATTTGTCGCTAATTATAAACTTTAAAACACAAAAACAATGTAGATCGTGTGTATTTATATATAAACACTTAAAAATCTAAAAAATGGATAGTCATGTAATTTTAAGACTTAAAAGCTTAATATATATATATATATATAAGGAAAAATACATGGAAAAGTCTTCCCAACACCTATAGTCGAAAATGAACAGTGATTTTGCCTACCTTCATCACCGTCTAAAGTTTATTGCATGATCACGATTGTCTGGTAGTATTTCATTTTTTCATTTTTTTTCTATAAATAAGAATGACCAGAAATTTGGATAGTATGTACATCTTGTTAGTACGGTGGCATAAGGCGTCGCGTGACTTTACCAACAATTGTGGGTTGAGAAGCCCACAAGTGTGGGAGGAATCCTACCCAGCGTTCACATTAACCAACATCTATATGAACGTTGGATGTATATCCCTGAGATCAGGGAACTCTTGTTTTCTTAGAGACCTGTTGAAAAATGTAACGGATAGCTTTTCTTCTCCTTATAAAAAAAGAAAACCTGAAAGAGGAAAAAAGTAGTGAAAGAAATAAAGATATACAGAGTTTTACAGAACTCCTCTTCTCTCTCTCCTCACAACATCGCTTCTCTGATCTCAGGTTGATATCGTACGCTCCATCAAATTTGCCAACAATGGTATCAGAGCATCCAGGTTCTATCTTCCATATTGTTTTATCTTGTACTACTCAAGCTCTATCTTATACTGCTCACACTTTTCTTATACTGGATTCACATATATTCAAGTATATCTTTAATGGTGAGGCATACGTGAAGTATATGTTTTATCTTATTCACATGTTTTCAAAACAATAAACCTCTATTGGTATTATTGAAATGAATTTCAGTGAATACCACTAATTATCACTGAATATCACATATTGTTATTATTTCAGTGAATATCACTAATTGTCACTGAATATCATGTATTGTTTAAAGGATTGATAAGCACGTGTTGTTTAAAGGATTGTATAGTTACGTGCTTATTGTTTAAAGGACTAGCATATGTTCAGTGAATACCACTAATTGTCACTGAATATCACATATTGTTATTATTGAAGTGAATTTCAGTGAATATCACTAATTGTCACTGAATATCACGTATTGTTTAAAGGATTGTATAGTTACGTGCTTATTGTTTAAAGGACTAGCATATGTATCTTTGTTTAAGAGATTGCTTTGAATTACAAAGTGATATGGAAGGATAGATATTTTAGGTTTTGTATGGTAGATTTTTGTTTTACAGAGATATAATCGCCTATGTGAATAAAATTCTCGGTGCATCTGAAATTTTTTTTAAAAAAATCACTGGTCTCTACAATCTCAGACTTTCTTCATCTTGGTTTTCTCTATCTGAAAAGGGGAAACTCTCATATTCCTTCTTTTAAGGAGGCACGCCCCTATTCTCTCCCCCATCCTTCTTTAAGGGGGCACACCCTTATTCTCTCCCTCTTCCTTTTAAGGGGGCACGTCCCTATTCTCCCCCTCTTCTTTCTTTTAAGGGGGCACACTCTTATTCTCTCCATCATCCTTCTTTTAAGGAGGCACGCTCTTATTCTCTCCCTCATCCTTCTTTTAAGGGGGCATACCCTTATTCTCTCCCTCTTCCTTCTTTTAAGGGGGCACGCCCCTATTCTCCGCCTCTTCTTTCTTTTAAGGGGGCACGCTCTTATTCTCTCTCTCATCCTTCTTTTAAGGGGGCACACCCTTATTCTCTTCCTCTTCCTTCTTTTAAGGAGGCACGCCCCTATTCTCTCCGTCATCCTTATAATAATTCTGATGGACTCTTAATAAAACAGAACCACAGAAGATGAATATTGAAAAGGGAAATAGAAATGAAACTATAATAATAATAAAAAAGGCATTTATGTGCTGAAAATTTACACGTAGAAGAGCATACCCAAATGATTGCCCTGTTTAAAAAAAAAAAAGGTAATCGTGTTTTACCATGCTTGTGAAAATCATGCAAATGATAGTCCATATAAGATGAGATTTTTTTTGAAGTACATATAATTAGAAAGCAGTGGATTGGACTAGTTGAAAACATCATCTATGTTATTATTTGATAAGTATGCATCTTTTGTTGTATTTATAACTGCACCATGTTTTGATGCAAGTAGAATGGAGAGGATATGTTACAATTACATATAATATGACAATAGCTCATCTACTAGTGTGCACAATGAATCTTTGCTGACCTGCTATTTATGTTTACTATATATATAGAATTAAAAATACATACACTTGCATCTATTTTGTATATTTTTTAAGAAATTGTGTATCACTCATTTGGTTTGATTATTTCCAATAAAATATGTAAGAGATGGGTATTGAGGGACGGAGTTCAGAGATTAAAACTAGAGACTAGCTTCATAAGTGGTAGCCAAAAGAAGTGAAAGAAGGAACAAAGGTTGACACATGGCTTTGTCTATCATCAGACTTTTGTATTTCTTTGGGATGAAAACCCTTGACATGTTTCAGTTGTCTGTAGAACCCCATTAATGTTTGTATTGTCTTTTCAATGCTTTGGATATGCATATTTTTTTGGGCATTGCAATTCCTTTTACCGATCAGTCCAGATGGTCATTGGTCAAATAGTGAGATCAATTCTGAAGTTGGTAAAAGTTGAAGTCTAATGAGCCACTGAAATTGTTTTTTTTTTTGGGTGTCTGTTTAAGTGTATGGAAGGTCATTAAAAATTTTCTATAACTCTCTTATTGTTGTTGAAAAAAGATCTGAAATGGTTGTATGGATATCATATAACATAACCAAATTCCCATTTCGCAAGGCCTCTTCTTTGTGTAGCAAGAAGAGAGCATATCAGATGCCAAACATGGGAACCAATGTTGTATGCAGCACTTAAAAAATTAAGTTCTAGCTACCAAACCATCTATGCATGTGTCCATACAAAATGGATATTAACATATGTGTCATAAGTGATAGATTGCTGAATAGAATTCATTCCCAAGAATCCATCTACACAAATATATGGACATATTACCAAATAGTGTTCATTTCCAAACAATTTTTTTATATGAACTAAATAGATTGGACCATTGTGTGTATGTCTTGAAGAGTGTGAGTAAATTTACAATACTTTCATTATATGTAGAAGATATTCTAATAGCTGAAAATGACTTAGAAATGATTGATAAGACTAAATCATCGTTTTTTTCTCTATTTGAGATGAAGGATATGGGAGAAACATCTTATGTCCTTGGCATAACAATAACTAGAGATAAAAAAAAAAAATTGTTGTGCTTGAGCCAAGAGAGATATCTTGACCCTTTTCTAAAAAGATTTAAAATGGAAAATTGCCATTGCCTACTCCTGTTAAAATGGGAAGTAAAGCTATCTATGAATGATTGTCCATTAAAATGATAAGAAAAGCCTAACGTTCCATATGCACAAGTTATTGATAGTTTGGTATATGCAGTAAGATGTACAATACCAAATTTGAGTAATTAGAAAGCAGTAAAAATAATTCTAAGGTACATTAAGGGAACAAAGCATCTAAAATTGTGTTTTCAAGCAGATAAACTTGAAGTTATAGGATATTCAGATGCAGCTTTTGCTGGGGATAAAGACGATAGTAAAGTCCACCTCATGATATATTTTCATCTTTGGAGGGGCTGTTGTTTCTTGGTCTAGCAAGAAACAAGGATGTGTAGCTAGGTACACACAGGTAGTAAAATACATTGCTTGTAGCACTGCCTGTACTTTTGCCGTCTGGATTAAACACTTCATAGATAACTTGAAGCTGCAAATAATCGACGGACTGATCCAAATATATTGTGATAATCAAGTTGCAATTAAATTAATTCAAAGTGGAGCAAATAGCTCCAAAAGAAGACTAATAGATGTCCAATATCACTACATTCAGGATATAGTTGATAAAGGTGAAGTAACTTTTAGTTGCTTGCCCTCATCAGATATGATTGCTGATCCATTAACAAAAGGTCTAAGTGTTGAACTATTGTCTAAGCACACTAGCTTAATTGGATTTTAGAATGTTTAAGTCAGACAATTTTCATGAGTGAACAATCGGTATTAGCATGACAATCCTCATGATAGACTAGCTTAATGAGACTTAAAAATGTTTAAGTCATACAGTTTTCATGAGTGAGAAATATATATTATAGTGAAAATCCTCATGATAGACATTTATTATGAGAGGCATATCCACAAAAGTGTGAGAAAAACCTCATGACAATAAATTTTCTTAAAAGGTTATACTTAAAAGTGGGAATATACATGTAATT